TAGCCATTAATGTACCGGCGCTACAGTGGAATTTTCTACTGCAACAATCCCACGCAAATACACAGTGACTGTACAAGAAGGCTCGATAATCTAGCTCACGGCATAAGCAGGGGTAAAGTGTTATTTTTATAGGTGGGGAGTGGACCTCACATAGGGGGGTCCGGGGGCAAGCTCCCCCGGGAAGATTTATTTTTAAATATTGAAGTCGAATCTGGTGCACTTTGAGAGCAAAATGAAGAGATCTATGGATACATCTCTCAACACCCATTTGAAACAGAACTGTAAACAGATTTACTTTTTCTTTATGGATATTTTACAAATCACCCTTTTAAACTTTATTCTTGTTTTACTGTCATATAGTATTTCATACCTGTTTTTCATTTATTCTCTTATTTATTTTATAACTAGAATGATCATATAAACGTGTGCCTCGGAAATAATTATTTACATTAATGGTGACCAAAACATTTGAGACCCACTGAGATAACACTGAGAGAGTCCTTTAGCTCACTGAGCCTCTCAGTCTGACAGGAGAGGACTCTCCTCCACTTTGTTGTTGAAAAAACTCCTTATATCCGTTAGCGTAGCTCGCTAGCACCAGAAGCTAACAACAACGATCTCCAGTACCGGTGCGCTCTCTCTCGCGCACACAAAATGACTCGTTCCACACAGACACAGAGCCGAGCTTTAATGAAACACAGAGACCCAGACGTAGTAGTACTGTACTGCATCATATTATTTTCGAATCAATAATTTTTCAAATTATGATTTTTTAAAAATCTTTTTAAAAATTTTTTTATAACCATTCTTCCTCCTGGTCTCTCGCGCCCCCCTGGCATGCCTCTGCGCCCCCCACTTTGAGAACCACTGACTTAGAGGGTTGTTTTGAATTTAAGTATGTAACTATCCTGTATGTGTTACTCTCCAAAACTGACACATTTAAGGCTGTCTTGTTTGTGTGTGAATGAGCAAAAATTACTAATGATTTGTTGTAATAAATATTGCTGCGACCAGAATGACTCATACAAGCATAAAGGATCCAATTCCTGATTAAAGTAAAGGTATAGTGCCACCTAATCCTCATCCATTTGATCAGGTAACCTAAAGTAAGGAGACAAACAAAAGGTGTCATGGTGATATCTATCTCCCTTTACTACTACCACCTAGACATTTGCTCATTAAATGTATGCTGCTGAATCTTATCCGTCCACTAGTCACCACTATTTAGTCTTCCTTCCTTCCTTCCTTCCTTCCTTCCTTTCTTCCTTTCTTCCTTCCTTTCTTCCTTTCTTCCTTCCTTTCTTCCTTCCTTCCTTCCTTCCCTCCTTCCTTCATTCCTTCCTTCATTCCTTCCTTCCTTCCTCATAAGCTATTTGCACACCTGTTTCTGGTTTCGTTTTTCTTTTAATATCCTTTGTGCCTGCCAGTTGTTCTGCATGCTTTGATTTAGTAGACTTATTTTTAGTTCAGTATGCTGTGTGTCTGCTGAACTCATCCATGGCCTTTGCCAGTTATTCGAAACGGTGACACAGTCAGTGCGATGATACACACACACACACACGCGCGCGCACGCAAGTATTTCATTGAAAAGTGTGCGGGATGAAACCCTCTTTAATGGTCACACATGCAGAGCACACAGCACACACAGTGACATTTGGCCCCTGCATTTAACCCAACCTAGTACCAGGAGTCTAGTACTAGGAGCAGTGGGCACTGGCAGCTATTGTACAGCGCCCGGGGAGCAATGGGGTGGTGTATGGCCCTCTGTATACCAACTTGACCACCAGCTGTTGATTTAGTCTTAAGGATCATTGTGGTAATACATTCAATATAAAATATAAAAATAATTGCATCTTTATGATGAATTAAAAATAATATCCAATACAATGATCTCTACTGGTATCATCATCTCGGGATAGTTACAAACCTCTGCACTAGCAGCAAATAGCCACTAGTGGTCGTCCATCTCACATAAGTTGGGTGGGTTATGTGGCCTTCAGGTGGGCTAGTATTGTCGAAACGCATCACAACCTTACACGTTTGTTATTAATACAGACACTGGAGGCAGAACTATCTATTCCAACTTTTAATTTTGGAAGAAGAGGAAAAGGCAATTGGTAGACGGTGATAAAATCACTTAGGCTATTTGAGATGAGATCTGAACACTTTGAGACACAGCACATAACTATTTGTCTTGTGTTGTTGCAGGATATATAAATCTATCAAGCCTGAATTTCAAAATTGACTTTTTTAAATGTTTTTTTGGCATAACGAAGGTGATTTAAATGCGCGATAAGTTGTACATAAGCGTGTTGCAGCGGGTCTTTAAACGACGAGACAAGACACGTGAAGACGTCCGTGAAGGCAGCACGGTGTGCACGGGCCAGCACCATGAAGCTGGGCACAGACCGTGTGTGACCATAGTGTGTGACACTCGGAGATAAACAAACCCCTTCGTGTATGACTCCGTGGACCTTTAACAACCAACGTAAACAGTCACAATGTTGTCACAAAGCTACATTTAATGTTAACAAAAGTAACTCGGTTGGAAAATAGTGACTCCGTTGATGAAAACTTAAGAGTTGAGTCCGCTGGGAGGTGAGTTTCATATAAGTTGTTATAACGGTAAGCTAACACTGGCTAACAGGTTTAGCTAGTGGTCAGTGTTGTTCATACTCTAAATACTGCTTTTACGTTATTACATAGCGTTTGCTACATTAGAACCGGCTGCTTGAACAAATATTAGGTTGCTAAATGACGCTAGTTAATTAGCTGTGTACCGAAGCCCCCCACCAGTGTAATATGAACCGTACCATATGAATGCCACTACATTGAGTTAGTGATGGGTAAACTTGTCTACTGTAATGATAGCCACTGTGAGTAATGTGGCATTTTTATTGACCGGTTCACTTGTTGCATCCCCAGGTCTCTGTTTGCTCCTAAGCATAAGCTCTGTTAATCGCACCTCGTGTTGTTTTGTTTATATTTGCTCAGCTGTTTAAAGGTAGCTCTGTCATCCATCTTTATCACATGAACATGTGTTAATTTGTCCTGCTTTAGATAGAAATAATAAACACAAAATATTACGTGTATATTTACAGTGTTTATTTTCTGCGAAGGCATGGACACTTTTGTGTATCTTCATAAACTATCAAATTATGTTTTGGTTTGACTGAAAATATCCTAGGTAGCTGCCACATATTCCTTTGCTCACTGCATAGAGAGAAACATCAACATATATATATATATATATATATATATTTGATTGGTTAATTCATTGTGCTTCCTATCTGAAGCTCTTCAGAGTGATGCCCTATCATTTTCTGCATGTTCCTTCTAACAGAGATGACAAATACTGAAATCCAATGCAATGTTTCAGCTCCTTCCACTTTGCTGAAACATTGCATTTCTTGTTATAACATTAATCTAAGACTCCTTTTCCATTTCTCTCACACCCTCCTCTGTCTCATCTTTCCAGTGACTTGGTGTGATAATTGCATGCTGCATGTCTGATAACCATCCATCACCTCACTGCACTTCCTCCCAGTTCTGATGCATGGCCCCCTCATTAGTAACGAGTACGTCTCACCGTTTCTCGCATGTTGTGCTGTGAGAGTGGCATCATGAGGAAGAACTGGGATAACCCTCTGGCACTGTCATCCAAGAAAACATGCCAGGGCCAGAAAGACTATGGACGAGAGCTACAGAGGCTGCGTGCTGTTTGGGAAGCAGAGAAGAAGCACACGCAGCGGGCCCGTGGTGAAATCTCTGTGGAGCTGAGGCACCTGCGTGAAGGAGCAGAGAGGGAACAGCAGAGGGCTGTGAAGGAACTGTTGCTCAGGCGAGGGTGCAAAACGGACTGTCGCGCTAACAACAAGGTGAACATTAAAGACAGTAGACGTCACACTGAGGTCGAGTCCACAGATAAAGAGGCGTTTTGTTTGTGTGGTGGAGAAACCTACACAAAGCTACAGCAGTTATTGCTGACGCTGTATGAGAAGATAAATGGTGAGCAAGCAGTCTATAAGTTGCATCACAGGCAGGAATTTGAGGTAGAAAAGGCGGTCTTCCTCTGCCACCTGCTAGATGCCCATGGAAGACTGTTGCAGGGGAGGCAAAGAGCAGGACAGCTCAGCTCCATTTCTAACAGTCTCTCAAGATCTCAGGGAGGTGGTACTAACTCCTATCAGACCAAGCCTCTCCTAACCTGCTCCAGAGCCTTGCCCCATACTGCCTCCCACTCACAGAAGAAGAACACCAAACAAGATCTGAGGGAGCTGCCTTCAGGGAGGGCCGTCTGTGCAGCTGACCCCTGCCCCTCCACTGCAGTCGTGGACACCTGTCAGAGCGGCTCGCTGACTATTTGTCACCCTCACAGCGCTCCCCATGCAGGCTTGGACCACCAGCCCCCCTACTGCGCTGAGTCCTCTGGGTCAGATGAGTCATCGCCCCCCAAATGCATGGACAGAAACATGGAGGTAAGCTATTTGATATCTTCGCATTCTACACATTCTTCTAAAATTAAGCTAGTATGAAAGTCAAGTATTTCATCAGTGTGCATTTAGGTTTGTAACAGTATTGGAATATAGAAGTGTAGTAGTGTATGACTCTGAATCCCTAAGGAACTTGTGGCGTTGCATTTATTTTCGACAATATATTTATATCTCCTCATTCTGTCAGTCTGCCATCCCATTCTCTATTTAACGATATTTAAGGATTGCTTTTCCACAAACATCCACTACTGAATGATGAAACCTATTGATTAAGTGGCCAACATTTCAAAGGTCAAGTTCACTGTGACCTCACAAAAAAAGAAGTTTTTGCATAGGAATTCATGTGCACATTTTTGACACAAATCACACACAATTTCACACAAATCTGAAATATGATAAACCATAATAACTACATTTTGGAGAGACAAAAACTGCCTCTTGAATGATTGGCGGAGGAAACAATAATCAATTAAGACTTTTTATGAATGGATCCTTGGGATAGCCTGAACCAGGAGATGTTATGATCACAGAGTCCACATTCTATACAAAACACCTGAGGCCATTATGATAGCATCTTTCTGTTATTTTTGGCAAATGGTGCATAGCCAGCAGCAATAACATGGAGAACTGAACAACTGGTAACATTTCTATAAAGAGTTTGTTTAGGTTGATAAGCAATTGGGCTCAAGCTAGTACAAACAAAAAGAGGTTGCAGCTTTTTAGGTTGCCATTATGATGTGGAAATTATTTAAAACAACTGGTGTGGTGTGGTGCAAAATATATGGTGATGTCAGTGCTATGGTTGTCAGAAAAGAAACATTGTGCATGGAGGAGGAGTTGGACTGTGTGGGTGGATCTGTTTATGCCTGTGGTTGGAGTGGCAGAAGTGGGTCAGCGTGTTTCCATCTCTTACATTTTGGATTGAAGTTTTGATAGAGGAAATTGAATAATTAATCAAAGCTCCCACTGTGTCTAAGCAGCGGTGCCCACTTGCCAAGACTCACATTTCTTGCATGTTCTTTCCCCTGATTTGCACAGCAGTTTGCATCAGGGTGAAGTCAATGTCTTAAAACCAAATGGGAGTCCCCTTTTAACAAGAATGGACTCCATTATTGATGTGAGTTTTGAATTGTCTTTTTAAACTGTTTAAAAATGCATCTACTGTAATACACTGTAGAATATCTTTTATATAACATAAACCTGACATTTTTTTCATTTCTTGAATGCCACTTTTTTTGCTTTATCTTCATAAGGTGTTGGATAATCTTTTTTTGTTTTAAGATTACATCGAGGAAAATCAATTATCAAAATTGTGTTGTATAACAACACAGCACCAGGCAATTAGAAAAAGGAAGAGTGACCGTGGCGCATCAGGATTTTTATCGTATAGCTATTAAAATTTCCTGTTTAGCTTTTCGCGAAATTCCAAACGATCTCACAGAATTCTCTTTTTCCTTCCTGTTCTAATTTAATGGAGAACATCCAGCATCCGGCTTTTCAGGCTCATGACAGGCAGACAGGGAGACCTTGTCAGAATATGTCAGTGTGAAAGGATGTCAATACCGCTGAGCCATGATGGACCTGTCTGCAGCTCAAATCTGTACGGAGCATACAGTATGCTGTTGGACATGCTGACTATAAGCTGTTCTTAGTTTTATGCTCAGTGAAATATCCTGAATGTTTTCTGTGTATACGTGTGATAAGTACACTTGCTTGTTCCAGTCTTCAAAATTAATTTTACAATTGAGTTTTTTTTATTGGTTGTTTTCCCTGTCAGCACTTCTATTCCCTTTTCAGAGCGTACAATATTCTCAGAGGAGCTGAAGCAGAATAGAAATAATGCTCAGTGCAGTTCACGTCAGGGTGGGTTTCAGTCTTTAGGCTACTATAAAGTCATGGTCTTGTGAGCACGCTGTAATTAATAAGGGAATATACTGAAGCTGTAAAATGCAGGGCTAGGGGGAACTAAGAAGCTAATTTCTTTGGGCGTGATTTGTCTAGCTCTTCTTTCTTCTTTTAACCTCACTGTCTATGAAACACAACCTTTTCTCCTGTTACTGAGAGAACATACTGTTCATGGGTATAGGAACACTTAAATGGGTATGAACTTTCATTTTCACAGTGTGCAACTTTAAACGATCTCTGCGTTGAAGGAATTGTAGAAAAATGCTCATGGAATTTTCTTTTGACAAATGTCTATTTTTGACTTTGCAGCACCCAGGCATGGGTTTTCTAACATTGACCTTTTAAAGGCACAGTAGGTAGATTGATGATCCTCTAACACTTTAGTAAGCTTTGTGTCTGCAACTAAGCAAGCACAAAGATTGAAAGTGCATTTTGACATGCTGTAGAGGAGTTAGGTTGGATGTAATGAGTGTTACAAATTTGATAATGTGCATATTTATATTTTATATTTCATCAGTTCCAAAGGGCTCTTTAAAAAGGATTGCCTGCTTTCCTGGGACAAGTTAAATGCCATGTTACGCTAGTAAATTAAAACACATAAATCTTTCTGGAGCTGATAATGGAAGCATTTATGAGTCAGACATATCTTTAGCATTGCTCATTTATAGTACTGATTGGACACTCACAGGAAAATGGAGTGAGATACACATGCTTCACTAACAATATCATGGCTGACTGATGATTTAACCAGAAGCTATTCCAAATAACTTAACAAAGTATTCCCCCTCCCATGCCAAGTTCTGGTTGTGTTAAGGCGATTTATTAAACTGCTTTGCACATTTTATAGATGGCTAGATAGATGAATGATGATACCTTCCAGCAAGGCTTACATGTTACTTGTAAACCATCATTGAGTTGTGACATAATTGGCTATACACTTACTGCTTTATTTCTTTTGTTAATGTCCCTGCCCAGGGCTAAATTCTGAACACATGAGTAGCCTTAAGTACCTTGTTAGACCTCTTATTTCTTCTCTGGGGCACAACTGCAGTAAAACATGAGAATTAGTCTGAACTGGACACACTTGTTCCCCCGTCTGCCTCCTGCAGCCTCCCTGCGTTGCAGTGTGTGCCGCCTATTGATTGTTCAAGAGGCAGCCAACATCATTCCAGCGTCATCTCCATGGAAACGAGCCCTAGTCGCGGTAATGATTGGGCCCCGTCTCAAAGCCTGCCTTTTTGTGATAGGACGGTGGAAGCAGTCCTCCCTACCCCCTCCTCACAGCGACACTCGCCGTCTTACACACACACATTTCTCCCTGCATCCTCTTTCTTCACCTTTATTGCGCTGTAACCGAGATGGGATTAACCAGCCTGTCGAGTCTTGTTGCATCTGGATGAAATGCTTTTTGACACAGCAGCATCAATGAGGACGGACTCCCAGCTGAAGATGCAACATGCCACCCACATCTCAGCGTCACTGAGAGAACGGGGACCGGATTGAAAACCCCTTAGTTGAATCGTTCTCTTTTTTGTTTGTTTTTTCCTCCATCGCACATCTTTTCTTGTTTGCTATTTCGTTTGGGCCTACATGCACTGTTTGAGCGTTACGCACGTTAAGTGAACTGCTGTGTCTTTTCCGTTTTCTGGAACTAGTTGTGACGAACCCCCGTCAGACGGCAGAGCCATAAAGGCATGAAAAAACTGGCTTTGACAGCGCAGTGAGCAGGACTCTGGATCTGAATGAACTAGAGAAAGCTCAAGAATGCTACCAGGACGATGACATTCACTAAATTGCATTCACCACACATGAGGCCGAGAATATGTAAGGTCCCTTTGGAGCTGATTGTCCTCATTTTGGAAAGCGTCACAGCGCAGAGAGAAAGGAGGACCTGATTAATCTTTTCTACGTTTTCCTTGGATATGCCACAGAGACTCTTGCTTTTAAAATGGTTCAGGCAAGGAACTTTACCAGTGCTGTTTATGTTAAACTCTCCCTTTTTATAAGGATTTACTTATTTGGCGCTTGAGGTTGAGTGACCGACAACCATGACAATAACAGTCTTTTGCCTGGCTTCAGACACCTTACTTTAGCTGTAAACAAACCACTACAGGTTATGAACTGCTGGAGAAAGGAAGGACAGTGACATCTTTATCATTTTCAAGCCAGTCTGTCACAGCTGATCCATGTAATTCTCCACCAGCAAATGAAAAGTCTGAGATGGCCCGGTCTTGGCTGGGCACCTCATTTTGTCATATTGATCTCGTCTGTGCTGTTTAACTTTGACACAGAGTGATGTATGACCTGTGCACTCGGCCTGAGCAGCCAGAGCCTGCACCAGCACACACAGACATGGAGAGCCATGAGGAGGACCAAGCTCTCGGGCAACAACAGTCGGAGTTGACGAGGCCCGAAGAGCAGGACAAGCAAAATGGGCTTGTGGACAAGGCAGTCCCAACCACAACTAATATCACAACTACATCGTTGTTAGGGAAAAGGCACCACTCACTTTATGCAAACCTCAATGGTTTTGAAGTTGAAGGCGTACGCAAGGTGAGTGTGGAACATTTGTTGAGTTTCCTGGATAACTCTTGATTGTTAACCTAACCATGTTTGTGGCCTGGAAACATCCAAGAGGCGTCCCACTAGCAAGTAGCAGCCATACATGTATTTTTGATGCCCAGTCTTTCAAAAAAAAACATTTTGATGACAGATTTTAAACCAATACCTAAACTATGGTTGTGGCGTTTAAATTGCACACTAAATGATGGTTGAAATGTCTTGATATTGAAGTTACAGCATTGTTAGGAATACGTTTTTTACACTGATACATTCGAGAAAATATAGCAAGAGTATTATTGGTGTTGGATCCCAGCGCTGTAGTAGAAACAGATTGTTCATCACGTATTACGCTGACCTATTGCAACCTTGTCCTTGATTTCACACCTCTGCATATCCTGTTAGCAGAGAAGATCCAATAATCATAGCCAATTGAAAATCAATAGCAAACCCACCAGAATACCGCGTATCTGACGGTCACAAATAAAAATGTCCAGAAAACTCGTAACATCTTGATGATTGATTGAGAGTGGTTTAGCAGGCCTAAACACAGTAAGTAGATACAGTATAATGGTTGCAGATAGTGCTTCGAAAACAGGCCATACAATGTCTCTATCCAAACCTGTAAAGAGCAACGCATGAAGGCTTCTGAACCAACTTTATTTGGGTAAGCTGCCACTCAGTAACCGGCCACATACACTATACGTACATATGCTTTTATCTGTTTTTGTCTTTTCTTATGAAAAAGGATAGTCAGAAAATGTTCAGCGGTTGGCTAACTACATTGAACAAAAAATATAAACGCAACACTTTTGTTTTTGCTCCCATTTTTCATCAGATGAACTCAAAGATCTAAAACATTTTCTATATACACAAAATAACCATTTCTCTCAAATATTGTTCACAAATCTGAAAAAACCTGTGATAGTGAGCACTTCTCCTTTGCCGAGATAATCCATCCCACCTCACAGGTGTGGCATATCAAGATGCTGATTAGACAGCATGATTATTGCACAGGTGTGCCTTAGGCTGGCCACAATAAAAGGCCACTCTGAAACATGCATTTTTGCTTTATTGGGGGGGTCCGAAAACCAGTCAGTATCTGGTGTGAGGGTTAGGGTTAGGGTTAGGGTAATGTTGTGAATGGAGTGGCCTGTGTTCATCGTCCATAACATACACATCTGCCCATACCATAACCCTACTACCACCATGGGCCACTCGATTCACAACATTACCCTAACCCTAACCCTAATCCTAACCCTCACACCAGATACTGACTGGTTTTCGGACCCCCCCAATAAAGCAAAAATGCACGTTTCAGAGTGGCCTTTTATTGTGGCCAGCCTAACGCACACCTGTGCAATAATCATGCTGTCTAATCAGCATCTTGATATGCCACACCTGTGAGGTGGGATGGATTATCTCGGCAAAGGAGAAGTGCTCACCATCACAGATCTTTTCAGATTTGTGAACAATATTTGAGAGAAATTGTTATTTTGTGTATGTAGAAAATGTTTTAGATCTTTGAGTTCATCTCATGAAAAATGAGAGCAAAAACAAAAGTGTTGCTTATATTTTTGTTCAGTGTAGTTTACTCCAAGCATACTTGTTTGAAAAGGCATGCCAGAAAACATTTGGCAAAATGTTTTCTTTATCTTTATTTCCTTGCTCTACTAAAAATATATATTTTAACCACCTTTCTTCCTTTGTTTGATGGATTTAATGTTGCCTCAGTTTAGGTAGACTTTCATCATCCTCCAAGGTGGTTTGGTGTTTGGTACATTGCCTGCTATTTTCCCCACCCCCCCGACATTTCATTACCAGGGCACCACAATCGTAGTAAAAATCCTTAATGAACTGTCAACACAACACAGGAGAAGATCGGTGGTCACAGAAGCTGGGAGAGGACTTCAAATTATGCATTATAAATTTGAATTATTAGGCTATTTAAGCCCAGTGGGGGCTGGGAGGGTGCTGTCACTCATAGATTATTGTCCATAATTACACCATTATTTGCAGCAGGGGGTACCCTGATTGTCCTTTTGTGTTTTTATGCCAACCAATACTTAATGACAGAGTTTGGTATGTGTGTGTATGGCAAGATATAATGACATCATGTCCTGCAAACCCTCCTTGGCTTGGTTATAAGTGGTGTCTATATATAAATATGGCTTGTGTTACTTTGTAGGATGATGTTAATCATCAGATCTCCATGATCCAGTGTATCTGAACCCACACAGCAGAAAGCTTATCCATACATCATTTTCTACATAGTGCTGTTAAAGGACTATCTTGGTTTTATGGATTGACTAAATGTTTGTTTATAATCTAAGATGCACAGGAAGCCAATGTAGTGCCTTGGGTTCAAATCCCACCTGCAGCCCTTGGCTGTTGTCCACTCTCTCCCTATTCCAGTCTGTCATCTCTATTTAATAAAAAGGCAAAATGGCCTATCTTTAAAAAATAGATGAATTAACTGTGAAGAGGTTGGTTTTGGGAGAAGTAGGGATTCATATGTTACTGTTTTGATTTTGTGATTGCCGCTGTGTTGCGTTTGATAGGTATCTCATCCTCATTTAGATCATCTTTAAATGTGTGCAGGCCTTTCTCCTTATTATCATTCATTCAGTCAACATTCTTGTGCTTCATGGTTTTATGCCCATGACACCAAAATGGTCTGATAGAAATATTCAAGCGAGCCATTTTAATTGTTATATTATTCTTGGTGTGACTACTCCAGTGGTTACAGTTGCATCTGTCCTCTATAACCATTCTAGGAAAACAATTAGGCTTACTGTGAACACAAATAAAACAAAGCGGTTGTAAGTCTTTCCATTCCATGGTAAAAAGATCCTCTGAAGGCTAATGAGCGTGTTGACTGTGTGGTCCTCTGTGGTCCCAACTCTTAAACACCCGTCTACATAACATATGGCTGCCTCTCCAGTGATTGATGGGTTTACACACTCTCAGTTCCAAATGCAGCCACAGAGAAGAGGTGGTGTACAAGCAAAACCCTATGGCTCCTTAATAACTCCCCTAAAGCTAGTCATTTCCCCCCTAATTGACCCTTTATGTATCTGTGATCCCTCCAGGTGATTGTGAAACTTAAGGCACAGTCTGAGCTTCTTTGAAAGTGATCTTTTAAATTGTAGTTTCACAAAATAACAGTTGTTTTATATACTTTATCTGCAGTGTCTATTAGAATCTTATACCTTTGCCCAAACAGTCTCCAGCTGCTGCACAATCTGTGACTCTAAAGTTATTGCTCAGTCTTTAGGAATACCTGATGACATCGTTTGACTTTGGAGAATGTGCAGGCATTATAGCTCTGACAAAGTGCTGAAGCTGCGCTTTGTTGGTTTTTGGGGTCATTCTGTTCACCTTAACCTTAGCTAATCCAGTTATATCCCAAACGTAAGAGTATGTGTTGTCAATCTAGCATCAGCTGTGCTGCTGTTTAGCCTGTTAATATATGCTTTGTTACCTTGTCAGCTTGTCACCTACACTTCTGTGGATATAAAACTGATGCTCAGCAAAAATCCTGGAGAGCTAGTTTTCCCTTGCTCAAAGCAGCGATAGAACAAGAGCAGTCAGGGTAATCATCAATCAATTAATCAATCAATGTTTATTTATATAGCCCAATATCACAAATGTTACATTTGTCTCAGTGGACTTCACAGTTTGTACAGAATATCAGTATGACAATACGACACCCTCTGTCCTTAGACCCTCACATCGTACAAGGAAAAACTTCCAGAGAAAACCCACAGTTTAAAGGGAAAAATGGGAGAAACCTCAGGGAGAGCAACAGAGGAGGGATCCCTCTCCCAGGACGGACAGACGTGCAATAGATGCCGTGTGTAAATTGAAAAGATAATACATTTGCAACATAGGTAGTCCAAATGTTTGGAAATGCATGTGTGTATAATAGGAAGATGAATCCACGAGTATATCCATCCAGGACGACTCAAGATCCAGGACTCGCAATCCATGACACAGGACCGCAGGATCATCCATGACTCCGGATCCCGGCGTATATAGACACCAAAAAGAAAGAAATTTGGGGAAGCTGGGTTAATCGGAACATGAGAGTACACAGGTATAGACAGAGAGAAGGAAGAAGTAAGA